AAATAAATTTATGAATAAACATCTTTAAATCAGACGTGCCAATGACAACGTTTTTATGAGCTTGTTTCACTATCAATAAAAAATATAAGTCCATTATTTGCAGATGGAAGAAATTTTATTATAACAGAATTAAGACAAACTACGAAAACATATTTATGATCCGACATAAAGCAATAAGTTGATAGGTTTATGAGCATGATACAAATAGAAAAAAGGAAGTCATGTTGGTTGACTGAAAGATCTGTTATATAGAGTACATATACTGTTATTGTATATGGCAGTAGTGTAACCTATCAGCTACTCTTCAAGGCGTCGTGTACTAGTTTAAAAGCTCAAAGTCACATAATAATCTGTTTATTTCGTTCGTTGATGGGCGTTCCTTTGGTCACGGGTCCTCTGGTGTAGGGAATCTTGTAGTAGGTATTTATTTTTTAGAAATCTTCATCAACTCCGCTAATATCCTTTTCAAGGAGCGCATAGAAGGTGGAGCTGGGGAGGCTGGTGGGCCACCAGATTCGGCCGACTGGCCACCAGATTCGGCCGATTGGCCACCAGATTGGCCCGGTGGGCCACCAGTCGGGACTGGTCCGTTGTCTCCGGATTCTAGTCACGCATGCAAAAAAACTTTGTTTTAGTTGGGTTTTTAGAAATGTTCATAACAAATATGATGATATGCATAAGCGAAATGCATCATTACAAAAATTCTGAAAACGGAACTTAGAAAACTAAATGAAATGTATTACACCGTTTTTCATCTTTCGTGTCTCAATTGGCATTATCTAAGGAGCAGGGCTCGGTATTAATGTTAGAAGTTGGAAAAGCTCAGGCATGTTTACTGCATGCTTACATTTAAGAGCATTTAAGAACATGAAAGATCTTGTATATAAAACTTACCAAATCGGTTCCTGAAAAATTGTTCAAAATCGTGTTCAGCACCGGCTGTAAAAAAAAAAGCGAAACACAATCTCATTTAAGACATAATCTGCTATTGTCATGTTCTTTCGTCCATATACATCCAAATAACTACCACTGACATAGTGAATTCTGATAAATTAAAACGTATATTTTAAAAATCTAACGACACCCATCGTTGAATGTTGGACTTTAAAAACAAACATGTTAAACTAGTATATGTGATACTGTCTGTAAGTGAAAGGTACCTGGATTCTCAGATCTGATAACATAAGTCAAATGCAAATAATTCTTATGTAACTAAACCGAATAGAGCAAAGCATAATGCAACCAAGTCCATTTTCACTAAAACTAGTGTAGCTACGTCCATTGTAGCTCAGTCAATTAATGAAGCTGAAATCACTGTATTAAAGCTCAATGAACCTAGGCCCATTGTAGCTAAGTCAAATGTTGTTAAGTCAAATGTAGTTAAGTCCAATGTAGCTAAGTTCAATGTAGTTAAGTCAAATGCGGTTAAGTCAAATGTAGTTAAGTCCAATACAGCTAAGTTCAATGTAGTTAAGTCAGATGTAGTTAAGTCAAATAAAGTTAAGCCAATGTAGTTAAGTCCAATACAGCTAAGTTCAATGTAGTTAAGTCAGATGTAGTTAAGTCAAATAAAGTTAAGCAAATGTAGTTAAGGCCAATGTAGCTAAGTTCAATGTGGCTAAGTCAAATGTAGTTAAATCCAATGTAGCTAAGTTCAATGTGGCTAAGTCAAATGTAGTTAAGGCAAATGTAGCTAAGTCCAATGAAATTAAGTCAAATGAAGCTAAGTCAAATGTAGCTAAGTCCAATGTAGTTAAGTCCAATGTAGCTAAGTTCAATGTAGCTAAGTCAAATGTAGTTAAGTCAAATGTAGCTAAGTCCAATGTAATAAGGTCAAATGTAGCTAAGTCAAATGTAGCTAAGTTCCATGTAGCTAACTCCAATGTAGCTAAATCCAATGTAGCTAAGTCCAATGCAGTTAAGTTAAATGTAGTTAAGTCAATTGTAGTTAAGTCCAATGTAGTTAAGTCAATTGTAGTTAAGTCCAATGTAGTTAAGACAATTGTAGTTAAGTCAATTGTAGTTAAGTCCAATACAGCTAAGTTCAATGTAGTTAAGTCAAATGTAGTTAAGTCAAATGTTGTTAAGTCCAATGTAGCTAAGTCCAATGTAGTTAAGTCAAATGTTGTTAAGTCAAATGTAGTTATGTCCAATGTAGTTAAGTCTAATACAGCTAAGTTCAATGTAGTTAAGTCAAATGTAGTTAAGTCAAATGTAGCTAAGTCCAATGTAATTAAGTCAAATGTAGCTAAGTCAAATGTAGCTAAGTTCAATGTAGCTAACTCCAATGTAGCTAAGTCCAATGTAGTTAAGTCAAATGTAGTTAGGTCCAATGTAATTAAGTCCAATGTAGCTAAGTTCAATGTAGTTAAGTCAAATGTAGTTAAGTCAAATGTTGTTAAGTCCAATGTAGTTAAGTTCAATGTAGCTAAGTAAAATGTAGCTAGATAAAATGTAGTTAAGTCCAATGTAGCTAAGTCCAATGTAGCTAAGTCAAATGTAGTTAAGTCCAATGTAGTTAAGTCCAATGTAGTAAAGTTCAATGAAGTTAAGTCCAATGTAGTTAAGTCAAATGTTGTTAAATCAAATGTCGTTAAGTTCAATGTACCTAACCCAACGTAGCTAATTTTATTTTTGATACTAGTCAAATTTATGCAATTAAGTCCATTACAGCTAAGTGCATGGTAGTGAAGTCCAGTGTTGCTAAGTCAAATGAGTCAAGTTTGTTATTTTAGCTACAGTAAGTCGATTGTAGCTAATTACAATGTTTCTACATTTTGAAATATGTAATATCTAAGTCCATTGATGGTAAGGCCAATTAAATTAAGTCCAATTAAGGTAGCTTAGTCCATAACAGCTATAATGTAAGTCCTGTGTGGTTAAGTCAAATATAGTTAAGTTCAATGTTGCTAAATTCAATGTAATTAAGTCGAATGTAGTTAAGTCAAATGTTGTTAGGTCCAATAAAATTCTGTCAAATGTAGTTAAGTTCAATGTAGTTAAGTCCAATGTAGCTTAGTCGAATGTAGCTAAGTCCAATGTAGCTTAGTAAAATGTAACTAAATAAAATGTAGGTAAGTCCAATGTAACTAAGTCCAATGTAGCTTAGTAAAATGTAGCTAAATAAAATGTAGGTAAGTCCAATGTAACTAAGTCCAATGTAATTTAGTTCAATGTAGTTTAGTCCAATGTAGTTAAGTCAACTGTAGTTAAATCCAATGTTGTTAAGTCAAATGTAGTTAAGTCCAATGTAGCTAAGTCCAATGAGTCAAGTTTGTTATTTTAGCTACATTAAGTCGATTGTAGCTAATTTCAAATGTCTCTACATTTTGAAATATGTAATATCTAAGTCCATTGATGGTAAGGCCAATTAAATTAGGTCTAATTAATGTAGCTTAGTCCAAAACAGCTATAATGTAAGTCCTGTGTAACTGAGTCAACCGTAGCTAAGTCCATTGTAATTGAGTCAATAGTAGCTAAATCCATATTAGCTAAGTTCATTGCAAATTAGTACCATGAGCTACGTCAATTAAAGCGAAGTCCAATGTTGCTAAATCTATTGTTGCTAACTCAGTTTTAACAAGGTCCATTGTAACTAGGTCCATCGTAGCTAAGTCCATTGTAACTAGGTCCATCTTAGTTCAGTTCATTGTAACAAGGTCAATCGAAGCTAAGTCTATTGTAACTAGGTCCATCGAAGCTAAGTCCATTGTTACTAGGTCCATCGTAGCTAAGTCCATTGCAACTTGGTCCATCGTAGCTAAGTTCATTGTAACTAAGTCCAGCGTAGCTAAGTCCATTGTAACTTGGTCCATCGAAGCTAAGTTCATTGTAACTAAGTCCATCGTAGTTAAGGTTATTGTTACTAGGTCCATCGTAGTTAAGTCCATTGTAACTAGGTCCATCGTAGCTAAGTTTATGGTAACTAGGTCCATCGTAGATAGGTCCATTGTAACTAGGTCCCTCGTAGTTAAGTCCATTTGAACTAGGTCCATCGTAGTTAAGTCCATTATAACTAGGTCCATCGTTGTTAGGTCCATTGTAACTAGGTCCATCGTAGTTAAGTCTATTGTAACTAGGGCCATCGGAGTTAAGTCCATTATAACTAAGTCCAGCGTAGCTAAGTCCATTGTAACTAGGTCCATCGTAGTTAAATTCATTGTAACTAGGTCCATCGTAGTTAAGTTCATTATAACTAGGTCCATCGCAGTTAAGTTCATTGTAACTAGGTCCATCGTAGTTTAGTCCATTTTAACTAGGTCCATCGTAGTTAAGTTCACTGTAACTAGGTCCATCTTAATTGAGTTCACTGTAACTAGGTCCATCTTAGTTAAATCCACTGTAACTAGCTCCATCTTAGTTAAATTCACTGTAACTAGGTCCATCTTAGTTAAGTTCACTGTAACTAGGTCCACCTTAGTTAAGTTCATTGTAGCTAGGTAAATCCTAGTTAAGTTCATTGTAACTAGGTCAATCCTAGTTAAAGTTCACTGTAACTAGGTTCATCGTAACGAAGTCCATTGTAACTAAGTCCATCGAAGCTAAGTCCATTGTAACTAGGTCCAGCTTAGCTAAGTTAATTGTAACTAGGTCTATCGTAGCTAAATCAAATGTAACTTGGTCAATCGTTGTTAAGTCCATTGTAACTAGGTCCATCTAGCTAAGTTCATTGTTACTAGACCCATCGTCGTTAAATCCATTGTAACTAGGTCCATCGTAGCTAAGTCAATTGTAACTAGGTCCATCGTAGCCAAGTCCATTGTAACTGGGTCCATCTTAGTTAAGGCATTGTAACTAGGTCCATCGTAGCTAAGTACATTTTTAATAGGTCAAATGTAACTAAGTCCATAGTTACTAGGTCCATCGTGGCTAAGTCAATTTTAACTGGGTCCATATGAGTTAAGTCCATTGTAACTAGGTATATCGTAGCTAAATTCATTGTAACAAAGTCCATCGTAGCTAAGTCAATTGTAACTAGATCCATCGTGGCCAAGTCCATTGTAACTTTGGCCATCTTTGTTCAGTTCAATGCAACTAGGTCCATCGTAGTTAAGTCCATAGTTACTGGGTCCACTGTAACTAGGTTCATCGTAACGAAGTCCATTGTAACTAAGTCCAGCGTAGCTAAGTCCATTGTAACTAAGTACATCGTAGCTAAGTCCATTGTAACTAGGTCCAGCTTAGTTAAGTTAATTGTAACTAGGTCTATCGTAGCTAAATCAAATGTAACTAGGTCTATCGTAGCTAAATCAAATGTAACTAGGTCAATCGTTGTTAAGTCCATTGTAACTAGGTCCATCTAGCTAAGGTCATTGTTACTAGACCCATCGTCGTTAAATCCATTGTAACTAGGTCCATCGTAGCTAAGTCAATTGTAACTAGGTCCATCGTAGCCAAGTCCATTGTAACTGGGTCCATCTTAGTTAAGGCATTGTAACTAGGTCCATCGTAGCTAAGTACATTTTTAATAGGCTAAATGTAACTAAGTCCATAGTTACTAGGTCCATCGTGGTTAAGTCAATTTTAACTGGGTCCATCTGAGTTAAGTCCATTGTAACTAGGTATATCGTAGCTAAATTCATTGTAACAAAGTACATCGTAGCTAAGTCAATTGTAACTAGATCCATCGTGGCCAAGTCCATTGTAACTTTGACCATCTTTGTTCAGTTCAATGCAACTAGCTCCATCGTAGTTAAGTCCATAGTTACTGGGTCCATAGTGGCTAAGTATATTTAAATTAGGTCCATCGTAGTTAAGTCAATTGTAACTAGGTCCATCGTAGCTAAGTTCATTGTAACTAAATCCATCGTAGTTAAGTCCATTGTAACTGGGTCCATCGTAGTTAAGTCCATTGTAATTAGGTCCATCGTAGCTAAGTTCATTGTAACTGGGTTCATCGTATAGTGAAGTTTATTGTAACTAGGTCCATCGCAGTTAAGTCCATTGTAACTAGGTCCATCGTAGTTAAGTTCCATGTAACTAGGTCCATCTTAGTTAAATCCATTGTAACAATGTCCATCTCAATTAAATTTATTATAACTAGGTCCGTCTTAGTTAAGTTCACTGTAACTAGGTCTATCTTAGTTAAGTTCACTGTAGCTAGGTCCACCTTAGTTAAGTTCATTGTAACTAGGTAAATCCTAGTTAAGTTCATTGTAACTAGGTCAATACTAGTTAAGTTCATTGTAACTAGGTCAATCCTAGTTAGGTTCACTGTAACTAGGTTCATCGTAGCTTAGTCCATTGTAACTAGGTTCATCGTAGTTAAGTCAATTGTAACTAGGTCCATCGTTGCTAAGTCCATTGTAACTAGGTCCATCGTAGTTAAGTTCATTGTAAAAAGGTCCAGTGTAGCTAAGTTCATTGTAACTAAGTCCATCCTAGCTAAGTTCATTGTAACTAAGTCCATCGTAGTTAAGTCCATTGCAACTATGTCCATCGTAGTTAAGTTCATTATAACTAGGTCCATCGTAGCTTAGTTCATTGTAACTAAATTCATCGTAGTGAAGTTCATTGTAACTAGGTCCATCGTAGTTTAGTCCATTGTAACTAGGTCCATCGTAGTTGAGTTCATTGTAACTAGGTTCATCTTAGTTAAGTTCCATGTAACTAGGTCCATCTTAGTTAAATCCATTGTAACTAGGTCCATCTTAATTAAATTTATTGTAACTAGGTCTATCTTAGTTAAGTTTACTGTAGCTAGGTCCACCTTAGTTAAGTTCATTGTAACTAGGTAAATCCTAGTTAAGTTCATTGTAACTAGGTCCATCGTAGCTAAGTCCACTGTAACTAAGTCCAGCGTAGTTAAGTCCATTGTTACTAAGTCCATCGTAGCTCAGTCCATTGTAACTAGGTCCAGCTTAGCTAAGTCCATTGTAACTTTGAGCATCTTAGTTCAGTTCATTGTAACTAAGTCCATCGTAGTTAAGTCCACTGCAACTAGGACCTTCGTAGTTAAGTTCATTATAACTAGGTCCATCGTAGCCAAGTCCATTGTAACTGGGTCCATCTTAGTTAAGGCATTGTAACTAGGTCCATAGTAGTTTAGTCCATTGTAACTAGGTCCAGCGTAGTTAAGTTCAGTGTAACTAGGTCCATCTTAATTAGATTTATTGTAACTAGGTCTATCTTAGTTAAATTCACTGTAGCTAGGTCCACCTTAGTTCAGTTCATTGTAACTAGGTAAATCCTAGTTAAGTTCATTGTAACTAGTTCCATCTTAGTTAAGTTCCACGTAACTAGGTCCATCTTAGTTATATCCATTGTAACTAGGTCCAACTAGCTAAGTTCATTGTTACTAGACCCATCGTCGTTAAATCCATTGTAACTAGGTCCATCTTAATTAAATTTACTGTAACTAGGTCTATCTTAGTTAAATTCACTGTAGCTAGGTCCACCTTAGTTCAGTTCATTGTAACTAGGTAAATCCTAGTTAAGTTCATTGTAACTAGGTCCATCGTAGTGAAGTTCATTGTAACTAGGTAAATCCTAGTTAAGTTCATTGTAACTAGTTCCATCTTAGTTAAGTTCCACGTAACTAGGTCCATCTTAGTTATATCCATTGTAACTAGGTCCATCGTAGCCAAGTCCATTGTAACTGGGTCCATCTTAGTTAAGGCATTGTAACTAGGTCCATAGTAGTTTAGTCCATTGTAACTAGGTATATCGTAGCTAAATTCATTGTAACAAAGTCCATCGTAGCTAAGTCAATTGTAACTAGGTCCATCTAGCTAAGTTCATTGTTACTAGACCCATCGTCGTTAAATCCATTGTAACTAGGTCCATCGTTGCTAAGTCCATTGTAACTAGGTACATCGTAGTTAAGTTCCATGTAACTAGGTCCATCTTAGTTACGTTCCATGTAACTAGGTCCATCTTAGTTATATCCATTGTAACTAGGTCCATAGTAGTTTAGTCCATTGTAACTAGGTCCATCGTAGTTGAGTTAATTGTAACTAGGTCCATCTTAGTTAAGTTCCATGTAACTAGGTCCATCTTAGTTAAATCCATTGTAACTAGGTCCATCTTAATTAAATTTATTGTAACTAGGTCTATCTTAGTTAAGTTCACTGTAGCTAGGTCCACCTTAGTTCAGTTCATTGTAACTAGGTAAATCCTAGTTAAGTTCATTGTAACTAGGTCCATCGTAGCTAAGTCCACTGTATCTAAGTCCAGCGTAGTTAAGTCCATTGTAACTAAGTCCATCGTAGCTAAGTCCATTGTAACTAGGTCCAGCTTAGCTAAGTCCATTGTAACTAGGTTCATCGTAGTTGATTCCATAGTTACTAGGTCCATAGTGGCTAAGAATATTGTGATTAGGTCCATCGTAGTTAAACCCATTGTAACTAGGTCCATCGTAGCCAAGTCCATTGTAACTGGGTCCATCTTAGTAAAGGCATTGTAACTAGGTCCATCGTAGCTAAGTACATTTTTAATAGGTCAAATGTAACTAAGTCCATGTTTAATAGGTCCATCGTGGCTAAGTCAATTTTAACTGAGTCCATCTGAGTTAAGTCCATTGTAACTAGGTACATCGTAGCTAAGTTCATTGTAACTAGGTCCATCGCAGTTAAGTCCATTGTAACTAGGTCCATCATAGTTAAATTCATTGTAACTAGGTCCATCGTAGTTAAGTTCATTGTTATTATGTCCATCGTAGTTAAGTCCATTGTAACTAGGTCCATCGTTGCTAAGTCCATTGTAACTAGGTCCATCTTAGTTTAGTTCATTGTAACTTGGTCCATCTTTGTTAAGTTCATTGTAACTGGGCCAAGTTCATTGTAACTAGGTCCATCTTAGTTAAGTTCATTGTAACTAGGTCCATCTTAGTTAAGTTCAGTGTAACTAGGTCCATCTTAGTTCAGTCAATTGTTACTAGGTCCATCGTTGCTAAGTTCATTGTTACTAGGTCCATCGTAGTTAAGTTCATTGTAAATAGGTCCATCTTAGCTAAGTCCATTGTAGCTAAGTGCAATGAAGTTAAGTCCATTAATTTAGCTAAGTCTATTTTATAAGCTTAGTCCAATGTATCTAAGTTCATTTTAGCTTTGTCCAATAATACTTAGTCAAACGTATTTAAGTTCTTCGTCAACAAGTAAAATGTATACAAGTCCAAGCCCTTTTTCAGTTTAGATCTTCTCACATTTCTTGTTTTTATTTTATGATACCTAAATTGATATATAATCTGTCCTATGTGTAAGAATCATGTTGTTTATAACGTTTATCACCACTAATGAAAAATATATCGACATTGAATTTTCTAATACATTTGTATTTTCAATCCAAACAAATCTTGAAAACATAACAATTTAAGTTTCTACTTCAAATAACATATTAGTTTCAAACTCTCCTAAAAAATCTGAAGAAACAAATATCTTTACCGATAAATACATAATATGGACAATAGACGTGTCGGTTATTTGGGGTTTATTTTGCTTTGTTATAACATGAAATGTGTTAGAAAAATTGAGAATTGTATATTTGAAACTGCCGGCAGTATAAAGGTATTGAGCAAGGTGGTTTCATCAACTTACAGACATACTCCTCCAACGCCTGATGTCCTCCTGAAAAAATATATATAGGCTTTGATATTTAAATCAGTAAAAGAAAGAATTACTTGTGCATGATAAAATTATTTTCAATATTACTTCAAAGCTTAAATTACCCATGATTATGTTAACATAATATATTTAAAAAATAGAAAATAAAAGAAGTAAAATTGCGTCACCCTTTATAACTATTTACTGTTATACTGAACATTTGCTGTAACTTTGCTGTGTTTGATAAAGAAGAACTAAAGAAATATTTTGTAAAATGAAAAAAAAATAATAGAAAAAAACACACACTCACCAAAGTCTTCAACCGCCTGTTTCAAACCTGCAAATAAATATTAACATGTTGAATTAAACAATACATAACAAAAAACAAACATTTACTAAATTGACATTCAGAGGAAATACTTTTGAAACGGAAGATTGCTAATTAATGCGTGTGTAACATGTTTATATGTTTTTTTCTTATAATATATGTATATCTATATAACATTTTAACAGTAAAAAGGGATATAAGCAGTTGTTTGTTGAATACCAAATATACATGTATTTCAAAAGTATTGCAAACTACCGATGTGGGTTTTTTTTCAGGAAAGCAAAGTACGCATGACAATTTATATTCTGCCATATGAGTTAACTGTAACATAAAACCATTCCATTATCTGTTGATAACATTTTAACAGAACCCATCGTGATGAAAATGTTACTGATTCAAAGTTAAAATTAATAATTAATCTATGGTACCATACTCTATTTACGTAAAGCTTGACAAAATGGTTGTGTGCTTCTACGCATGACTTTACACTATACTTCCGTTTTGTGCTATTACATGGTAAGATTTGCTTTTAAAAATAATATCACTTATGGAATTAAGTAAATAGCTTAACGTATGTAGCAAAGATTACCAAAACAATTTCTCAGTCTTCCTTCAGTTTTGTTTAAAAAGGAAATCTACGGGGTTATGCGCAATGAATAGAAACGACATTTCTTCTTTGTCGCTGCCGAAAGTGATATTTCCCACTGTTTCTAGCTCCGTTTGGTATATGTCACAGCGTGAAGGATATCAGTTATAATAAGTTGATAGAATAAAACATTACACATAAGAAATGTTAAACGTTTGAAATATAAGATACAATATATCTGCTTACCAGCGAGATTCTCCACCAACATTTTCAAACCTGGAAATATACAAGAAACAAATCTAAACAATACATAAATTCAAAGTAGATTCCACTAATCCATGATGTCAAAGCACCAAACTGAAAAAAAAATATGCAAAATGCGAAACATTTGCGTTTATATTTACAAAACTAAAATTATGAGTGTTTTATACGAATCCAGACAATATGTTTTTTTTATAGAAAATACTCCAATGCATCTAAGTTACAGAGACCCATCTTAGTGCATGTCTTATAACAGAAACCCATCTTAGTGTATGTCTTATAACAGAAACCCATTTTAGTGTATGTCACATAACCGAAATCCATCTTAGTGTATGTCTTATAACAGAAACCCATCTTAGTGTATGTCTTATTACAGAAAACCATCTTAGTGTATGTCTCATTACATAAACCCATAATAGTGTACGTCTTATTACAAAAACCCATCTTAGTGAATGTCTTGTTACAGAAATCCATCTTAGGGTATGTCTAGTAACAGAAAAACTCCCAATGTGTCTAGATCACGGAAATCCATCTTAGAGTATGTCTTATTACAAAAACAAAAAAATTGTCTAGATCACAGAAGCCCATTTTAGTGTATGTCTTGTTACAAAAAAACACCCCAATGTGTCTAGATCACAGAAACCCATTTTAGTGTATATGTTGTCACAGAAAACACCCCTATGTGTCTCAATAACAGAAACCCATCTTAGTGTATGTCTTATTACAGAAACCCATCTTAGTGTACGTCTTATTACAGAAAAAAACAATGTGTCTAGATCACAGAAACCCATCTTAGTGTATGTCTTATTACAGAAACCAATCTTAGTGTATGTCTAAATACAGAAAACACCCCTATGTGTCTAAATCACAGAAAGCCATCTTAGTGTACGTCTTATTACAGAAACTCATCTTAGTGTATGTCTTTTTACAGAAAGCCATCTTAGTGTACGTCTTATTACAGGAAAAAAACATTGTGCCTAAATCACAGAAACCCATCTTAGCGTATGTCTTGTTACAGAGAAAAAAACAATGTGTCTAGATCACAGAAACCCATCTTAGTGTATATCTTGTTTCAGAAAACACCCCAATGTGCCCAGCTTATATAAACCAATCTTAGTGTATATATTGTCAAAGAAAACACCCCTATGTGTCTAGATCACAGAAACCCATCTAACTGTATGTCTTGTGACAGAAAAAAAAAATGTGTCTTGATCACAGAAACCTGTCTTAATGTATATCTTGTTTCAGAAAACACCCCAATGTGCCCAGCTTATATAAACCAATCTTAGTGTATATATTGTCAAAGAAAACACCCCTATCTGTCTAGATTACAGAAATCCATCTTAGTGTATGTCTTATTACAGAAATCCATCTTAGTGTATGTCTTGTTACAGAAAACACCCCAATGTGCCTAGATCACAGAAACCCATCTTAGTGTATTTCTTGTTCGGAAAACACCCCAATGAGCCTAGATCACAGAAATCCATCTTAGTGTATGTCTTATTACAGAAATCCATCTTAGTGTATGTCTTGTTACAGAAAACATCCCAATGTGCCTAGATCACAGAAATCCATCTTAGTGTATGTCTTGTTACAGAAAACACCCCTATGTGTCTAGATCACAGAAATCCATCTTAGTGTATGTCTTATTACAGAAATCCATCTTAGTGTATGTCTTGTTACAGAAAACACCCCAATGTGCCTAGATCACAGAAATCCATCTTAGTGTATGTCTT